GCGGGCGGGAGGCCGGCGCGGACGCGCGGTGTGAACGTTGGGTTGTCTCTTGCATTCGCCATGCCTGCCTCAGCACGGGGAGAACTGGGGCTCTGGGCAGCCCTCAGCTCCCTGGAAATTACATCTGCCGCACGGTCCTGCCACATGCACTTTGTAAGTGAAACTTGATCCTTCATTCACCTTGTTTGGGTGTTTAGTATTTACCCTGTAGCAGCACGTGAACCCCTGAGGCTCGGGGTATGGGCCACGATTCATTCATTTTAACTCACTGTTCTTGCCAGATCTAAGAGTAAAGGGATCATACAGGGACTCATATAGGACTAAGGGGTCTGTATGAAGGAGAGGACAGCTACTTTCTACAAAGAGACAGAACTAAAAGCCTTGGATATCTTCTACCTCTACCCTTCATTTGAGACAAGTAGACACACACAAGTCTTGGCTATCCACTATGGGCAGCAGGAACATCATCGTGTTGGTTACTTACATTACAGAAACTCTTGGGCCTCTCTGATACAAACCATAACTATTTTACACGTATGACTCCCCTGACTCAATTACTGGCCACTCTCAAGGCTGCCACTTGACCACACAGCAACCACGACCACTGCAGCAACCTGTCTGGGGAAACATACTGCACGTAACATCAGGGTTGTTTTTGCTGTGGGTGGTTAGTTTCTTTCTTTTTCTTTTTTTTTTTTTGAGACCAAGGTGGGCTTGGTTAAAGCAGAAAATATATAATTTGCCTGGCCACGCCGCCAGCTCCTGGCAGGGGGTAAGGAGCCGAGGTGTCCTGGGAGCTCTCCCGCAGAACACAGATGTGCTGCGGGGGTGTCAAACCCTCTCAAGCCATTTCACCTCCTCCCTGTGCAGGTTTTCTTGAATTTCTTCTCTGGGTGCCGTGCTGAAAGCACCGGTGTGTTCCCAGGTTGCACCAGTGACAGTGAATTGAAGGGGACGTTACTTGTACTTCCTCACCTGGACAAGTTTAGTCCTGCTGTGCTTCTTTACCGCCTTCGGGAAGCCAATCGGGCTCCATCATGCCTAGTTTAGATACTTAAGCCTAATACATTTAGTAAGAAAATGAAGCGCAGTCACTCCTGCCTTTGAAATTTGTCAGCAGTGAGCTCTACAGCTTTCATTCACCTTCCTGGGTGCCTGCAATGTGCTGCTGCACTGCTGACAAACGTGTGTCAACCCGGGATGCATCTGAGGCTTCCCACACAGAGTCCCGGGC